CTCAACCATTGAATTTGCAGCTTTTGCAGCTTAGCTCACTTGCAATGAAATCCAGACTCGCATATAAGGCAAAGGCTGCAGTAACTCTCAAAATACATACAGAAGTGAGCAAACTTTCAAGAGGTAAAAGTGATAGAGAGAAAGAAAGAAAGAAAGAAAGAAAGAAAGAAAGAAAGAAAGAAAGAAAGAAAGAAAAGAAAGAGAGCAACGGATCAAACAGAGAAAGGATTTTACAGAAAGAGTTACAGAAAGGGGGGAAAAACAGTGAAAAAGAGGAAGAGAGAGAGAGAGAGAGAGAGAGAGAGAGAGGGAGAGAGAGAGAGAGAGAGAGGGAGAGAGAGAGAGAGAGAGAGGGAGGGAGATAGAGAATAAGGGAGGGAGAGAGAGAGAGAGAGAGAGAGAGAGGGAGGAGAGAGGAGAGAGAAAGGGAATGAAAAAGGCTTAATGTAAGAAATACACATCAGTAGGCATGAGAAGAGAAGAAAAAACTCTGAAGAGATTGATGTCAACAAATAGGCCTTTGATGTTGAAACACCATCCACAGCCTGACAGACAAGTAACCTGGCCCTACATTTCTCCCCTCCTCCTCCTCCTCCCTTTTTCCAACTTCTTTCAACATTCTCTTGATTCTTGAACAAGCAGCAGCATCTACAAGAATACGGATAGGATTTGATTCAGTGTGGTGCATACAAACCAACAGTTTGTGTAAGGCAGTCGATAAAAGTAGGGTGCCTTAGTTTAGGTAGTTCCCAAGGTTTTTAGAGCTGCGATAAAAAACGGAAGAGCGGCAAAAACTGAGAGACAGTAAGTTATGGATGGATGGTTACAGTCTTTTGTTTATAAACAAAAACAAGGATGCCACAAAATGGAAACTTATTCTTTGGCCCAGACTCAAATTTGACAAATGAAAATTATGAGAATTTTTTTCTTCTTCAGATTAGATTTAATATTTCAATAATTCTATTTAAAGCCCCACTGCACTACTTATAGCTACTTGTGCCCCCTAAATAGCAAACGATGCCTAATCAGGCTTTAAGCTAATTAAACAGGACATGCTTGCAGGATAAACACTTTCCTGAAACAACCCAACATAACGACACATTTTCAAAGAGCACAATATTTTTAATAAATATTGTATTGATAAACTGATTTTAAACTGGTATCTTCTTCCACAAAGTATTCTTGAGTCTCAACAGACTGAATTTCCTTGCTTGTTCCTCCCTCCCAAAGAAGTGGCCGCAAGAGACTGACCTGCAGCGCTTAGCTTTGGCCAACAATCTTTCAAGCATTTCTTAATTTCATGGTCCATTTCAGTCCTTCTGGCTGGAGCCCATTGGATGGATGAAAGCCCTAATCAAATTGGATGGAAACATTCTAATCCTGTCCCAAAAAACATACAGCTCAAGTGAATTGTCAGGCGGCAACATTATGATTGATGAAATGAGACATACTCCTTGGATGTAATACCTTGGTTTTTTATTGAGCCTCCAAGGGAGAATGCAGTAATTGAAATAAATTTGGGTAATAGTTATAACAAAAACTGAAAAGAAGTCATCTCATTTCTTGATCATGTACATTGTTAAACTTTGTGCTGAGCCGGAAAAACTAAGTTGCACCTGGGAAACATGTTTCCACATAGATGAAAATGTTAACTCAGAAAACTTTTGACCTTTCTTCAGAGCATGCAGAACCTAATGCTTAGAGTCCACCTTTCGCTTCGATACCAGTAATATTCCTGTAGTACTCTCTCCCATAATTTAGAACATGAAAATCCCTCCATAATTCATTTTTTACACCCTATGACATACACACAAAAAAAGGCTAGCACCGGATGCAATTCTTGTCTTGGTTCCCTCACTGCATTGTAGCTGGAACCTAGAGCTTGAAAATTTTGCTTTGTATAGAGCACGCACTGTATGACAAAGCCTGTGTTGTACTGCATAACCACTGGGGTGAAATGTTGACCTGGGAGAGAGAGAGATAGCCCTCATTTTAAACTGGGAAAAAACGGGGTAAAGGGGAAGAAAAAAATCCTGCGGTCTAGCCAACCAAAATATGGGTAAGACTGGCTTCACCTAGGGAACTCTACCCCAATTGTGTTGGATTTCTTGTCCCTAAGGGAACGCTTTAATGATAGAATGGGTATTTAGAAACATATCAATTTGCGATTGAGAAAAAGTCATTTGCATTTCCTGTGCCTTTGAATGGCTGTTTGTAAAGCTTTGATCAAACACAAAAGGCCCCCGGAGACCACTGTTAACCACCATCCTAAAACTCACCAGACAATTGTAATTAACTCATCCCGGATTATCAAACTGATTTATTCCTCTCGTTTAATAGATAATAAATTCCCATTATACTGCACCGTAGTTCAGAAACGATGTCCAATTATATTTTTATTGGCGATGTATTGTATTAATTATATTTCATATCTATTTTCATCAATAAACTAAATATAAGTGGGGGGTAACCACAAAAAGGAAGCAAAGAACCTATAATTATGCGTTTACTGGATAGATTATTGCTTGGATTAATGCAATCATAGAGTCAAAAGTCATCAAATATGCAATCAATCAAGGTCTTGAAAATAGATACTACATTGATAAATTAGATCAAGGGTTTTCATAGATAGCACACAGTTACAATCAAATTAGAAGATGAAATTAATCAACTTGTATCTTTCAGGCAAAATTCATGAAGACAAACATGTGATCCCTCCAATCCATGCTTGAAATTCTCTCCATTCAGCATAACAATTCAGATTGTTTTATTCATTTTAACAACATATATGTATCATTAGGTACTGTACTACAATTTTATAAACCTAGCCTCTCTTTTTTTTAATTCAGAAAAGGATACAAATTCAAAAAAGAAGTGTCAGAGTAGCTACATCTACATAGTTCATGTAGATATTTCATGTACATTACATAAATGATGGAATCTACACAAAATATAATTCACACATGTTCTTATAACTGTACTTTATTTTAGAAAAGTGTAAATTGAAGTAGGATCAAAGCATGGAGGAGTGTAACCCAGATGGAAGCAGGAGATCAATTCGAGCTCCACAATAAAGCATTTGATACAATCTATTAATTATCTTGTAATATCTGAAACACCCCTCAAAAGACTTCTCTGATATCCTGCAGAGAGTTTGTACTGTGCTTTGTAGATGGAGAGAGAGAGAGAGAGACAGACAGACAGAGACAGAGACAGAGACAGAGAGAGAGAGAAAGATATTGAATCCTCCCCAGGGCAATACAAAGAAATAAACTCTTTGAAGAATTATTGAATGGTCAAAATTCCTCAATCAATGCTGTCAGAATGGGTTAAACGGGTTAATTTGCTGGGTCAACTTCAATCCAATACCCTCACAAAACGGCAACCGAACAGCTACCGGTGTAGATATCACCATCCAAGGAGGACAATTCTGGAGTACATGAAGGGAGAATGAACAAAAATCAATTGTATTGACCTGTTGAAACAGCTATATTATCCACCTATTCATCTACGCAGTCTATTATCTCATGAGTACCAAAACGTTCTTTCATTGCTCTAAACTACTATTGATTTTTCAAATACTGTTTGCACAATATGTGTCCTTCTTATTGTTCTGCTGGCACTACTTAAAGTGACTCGCTTTCTTAAATACTTCCAAGTATTCCTGTCTTTTATTTCACCTTCTTCTCTGCTACAATAAATAGTAGAACATAATCATGAACATTTAAGTGCACATATCCCTACACATAAACCTCAAAACATTAGGCTGAATTTTTCATGTTTCATCCAAATCAGGCTTAGGTGGAAATAATTCAAATACTAAGAAACGTCCATACAAGATTCACTGACCTAGAGATAACTTACTTTCTCATTTTGTTATAGAGTTATATAGATCAAAGAAAGGTTTTCCCTCCAATTCATCTAATCAAATGAACCATGCTACGCCAACACAAAAGTTCCCCATTGACAATAAAACCGAAGGAGCTAGGGGAAAGTGCCCGTTAGTTAGCCCTGTACTGACTTGACTTCAAGCGGGTAACCCGATTTAGCACTAAGTCTGCTGGTGACAATGTTTTAATAGGCTTGGGTTGTAATGAGACACGCTGTGAGTTAAGTCTCTCTTGCCCTCCCTGACGGAGGTTCAACGAGGGCAACGTCTGCTGCTTGCTTGCGTTCGCCTTCATGGAGAAAGGGGAAAGTAACTCTATACATGGCACAGCACTTTCTACACCATATTTCCTCTATTCCCCTGTAACATGCCATGAAAGATCTGTCTTGCTTTTGATAGAATATATTTTAAAAAATGTATAAAAATTCATATTTAAGATAAACATAAATGATACACAATGTCATAGCTCTGTCTAAAGTGATCACCTAACCTGACCCATTCTGACCTTTGACATTTTAAGCCCATGAACAAACTCACCCCATTAACAGTTGACTCACTTATTTATTTCCATTCTAATTACTAAACCATAACACTATTTTTCCTCATCTTGGGGAAGCTATTGTCATTATTTGTCCTAAGTTTGCTTTAACATTGAAGAGAGATTGTAATTGAGCTATTGTATGTTTAGAAACAGAAAGGCAGTAACCCTGTTTTTAAAATTATATGAGTTAATATCCTTCTGGCCATGAGCATACAATATCATTTTTGTCATCGAACCATAGTCTCACCCATACTAAATGAGAAACCCCCAAATCACAATGTATTATTCACAGGATCACAGTGTTTTTTGTGGGTAATATTTTTCTTCCCGCCATCCATCTACAGAGATTAGGATTATAGATGCCCCCTTGTCACTGTCAGAGAGAGGGGTGAAGGATTATCAAGTGGGGATTAGAGAAGGGGCTAAATTTATCTTCAAGGTAGCAAGCAGCTAGAGTACAACCTGAAGCCATTCATTCATTGCTGGATTCACAACAGTATGATGAGTCACATCAACATAAGGCATCCCTATGGATGAGTGAGTGGTGCAGGATAGGCAGGATTAAGAATGCTCTCTAGGCTAGGAACACAAGGTAGGAGCTTCTGAAACTGCTTGCCGGCTAATCCATGAAATCATATAAGATCTGTGATTGAAGAGGTCAACAGCAATGCTAAAGTTGAACTTTATGAACGGAGCAGTTGCTTGGCTTGCTCGGTAAGCAATAAAATCATCCATAATAACTGTAGGGATGATCAGTTATCACAATTTTCCTTTCACAAGTGAGAAGATTGAGGGAATCTATAACCAACCTGATTGCAAGAGCCTTGTCCATCACCTATATACATGTATGAATAAAACACTGACTTTAATAATCCAAATATAAATTCTAAGGTGTGTGCAATAAAGCACTTTTTGTAAAAGTTCTCCATTAGTGTTAATCAATGATACAGGAGTTTCTGAAAGTTAAATAAACTTTTTGTAATTCACATACCGGTAGTTATTCTACCAGTACTATCCCAACAGTCTTGAATTACAAGATCTATGACTAGCCAAATTGATCTCAATTCAAGCATTTTTCACATCATCAATCAGACAACCATACTACATGTACCATACATATCTCAACACTATACAGAGGTATCAAAGAAATCATATTTCATCTTCTCCACAAGCTCTCTCTTTAAACGCTTTGCCCTCGTGCTCTGAAAAGTTCAAAGTCTCGCTGGCTTGACCTACCTGTGACTCCACAGCCACCTGCAGGGCTGGTAGGAGGGGTGCTGGGGTGTGGTGGGGGTCCACTGCTGTAGACGATGTGGGGTTTGGTATTGGTCTCAACACCTTGGGCGACCCCACCCTCAGGCTCTATGTAGAACTGGGTGCCATTGTGAGTGTTGAAGAGACCAAACTGCAAGAGAAAAAAAGTTGAGTGGTACAAAGGCTGTTAATCATCAAAATATTACTTTTTGTCCTTACAATTGAAGTTATACTGGATATGTTTCTCATTAATTTCCATGCTCACTTTCAAAAGTTTAATCATACTTGACTTCCAATGTCTTGGAGAAATTAGGTACCGGTAATATTGCCTCATTATCTTCCTTCTAAAAGCATACATTGTAAGGACACATAAAACTGTTGCTCGGCATAAAAGGCAAATCTAACATCGTCATAATGACAATACAGTATAATGGTACGAGCAGCAATTAGAAAAAATGTACTCTCCAAAATTCATTCCAATTTCAAAACCATGAAAACATAAAGAAATCTATCAAAAATCAATTTAAAATTCATGTAGTGTGAAACATTACAACGAGTGCAAATGATGGGATCCTTCAATCGCATTCATCGGAACTTCCTTGACACAAGCACTGGTTATTCCGACAATCATATCACATTACACATGTCATTAATTCTGCTCAAGGGGTGTGACTTTCTGGAGGTTTGTGCAAGGTATCTGGGAGGCGCTAAATGAGCTCGGAGTCAGGATTCTTCTGTGCCGATTTGTTGGGCGAGAGAGTGTGTGTACAAGCATCACATTTGTGTCAATACCCTTTAGTGATATCCCGTCTGAGGTTACGCACTGTGTACGGCTCAATGACAAAAGACTTAGGGTGCGTTCAATCGAATTTTCGAAGCTAGAATCACAAACATGAATCACAAATCAAAACGCCGTTACAAAAAACAAGGTCACTGCGGTTAGCGTTCAAGCGATTTTTCATCAACGCTGATTCTAGCTCATTTCGAGCCCAGCCACTCCGCATCACACTCGCAGTTTGACCCAGGAAGTATAGGTCAACTTCGGCGCGCGCTTTTTGGAATTGTTTACGGCCGACTGTCGACTGCTGTTTTGAGCATAGATCGCAATAATAAAACAAAGAATGAGAAGGTGATGGAAGGAAGAAACAAAAAATAACATAAGGAAAGACAGAAAGAGAAAGTGATAGAGTTATTAAAACGAAGAATAACGTAAGAGAAGGTGATATAGGGATATAAGGAAGAAACAAAGAATGACATAAGGAAAGGCAGAAAGAGAAAGTGATAGAATTATAAAAACAAAGAATAACATAAGAGAAAGTGATAGAAGGAAGAAACAAAGAATAACATAAGGAAAGACAGAAAGAGAAAGTGATATAATGATTGAAACAAAGAATAACATAAGAGAAAGTGATAGTATTATAAAAACAAAGAATACTATAAGAGAAGGTGATAGAAGGAAGGAACAAAGAATAACATAAGGAAAGACAGAAAGAGAAAGTGATAGAATGCTTAAAACAGAGAATTACATTTAAAAAAGCTGATAGAAGGAAAAAACAAAGATTAACATAAGAATAGAAGGAAAAAAGAAAGAATAACATAAGAATAAAAGGAAGAAACAAAGAATAACATAAAGAAAGACAGTCAGAGAAAGTGATAGAATGATTAAAACAAAGAATAACATAAGAGAATGTGAGTGAAGGGAAAAAACAAAGATTAACATAAGAATAGAAAGAAGAAACAAAGAATAACAAAAGAGAAAGTGATAGAATTATAAAAACAAAGAATTACATAAGAAAAGCTGATAGAAGGAAAAAAACTAAGAATAACATAAGAATAGAAAGAAGAAACAAAGAATAACAAAAAGAGAATGTGATACAAGGAAGAAACAAAGAATAACATAAGGAAAGACAGAAAGAGAAAGTGATACTAATGATTAAAACAAAGAATAACATAAGAGAATGTGAGTGAAGGGAAAAAACAAAGATTAACATAAGAATAGAAAGAAGAAACAAAAAATAACAAAAGAGAAAGTGATAGAATTATAAAAACAAGGAATTACATAAGAAAAGCTGATAGAAGGAAAAAAACAAAGAATAACATAAGAATAGAAGGAAGAAACAAAGAATAACATAAGGAAAGACAGAAAGAGAAAAAGATAGAAGGAAAACAAGGTATAACATAACGGAACAGGCAATGATAAAGAGCATGGTATAGTAAACGCAAATTGCATGAAAAGCAGGCGCGCGGTTTTTGCCCAAACCGGAACAGGCTCCGTCATACAATCATGATTGAAAACTCCGTCCGTTCAATCGAATTTTAGCGACCGTGATTCTGCAGAATCATGATACAAAACGCATCTTTTTCAGCGTTTCATGTTTGTGTTTTCAAACACGTTTATTTTTACAACCGACCAAAAAATCGCTTGAACGCATTGCGTTTTAAACTAAACGTCTTTAGAAACCGTGATTCTAGGGTGAAAAAGTGTCGATTAAACGCACCCTTAGAATAACATGCATTGTCAGATCAGCAAACATGAGGATTGATAGAATGTGATGTGATGCCAGAGGGCTACCCACATGTGCTCTTACCTACTCATAATAAGTCGAGCCGGTCACTTCAAAAGAAAGCCTTTTCTCACTGTCTTTATGCTTTCTTCTCCTGCAAATTGTTTCACCTGGCTTTTATTACCTCTGGAAACTCACACAGGCTCTTTTATAGAGCTCCGAATCAAAGACTTTGCTGCAATTGCCTTTCTAAAGGGTACACATACATGTAATGCCATATCGATAGGAATTTAAGATTATAAACCATATCAACTTTTATGAAGCTATAATTCAACTATGAAAACTGAAAAAATAATTGTTGCTTTATCAGAGTTCACCCTCTAGGGTTTAAGATTCAGAAGGTTTCAATTGAATTTCTAAACTCTGTACTCAACATGTCTGCCTTCATCTGCACTCCCATGTACATGTACATCTATATTGTAGGTATTTAAAGTCAACATTCAATAAGAGCAGCCCAATTTCTTAAATAAGATGATAATTTCCATTCTTTTTTTTCTGTCAAAACAATTGTATTTAATTATAAAGATAAGAATTGCTGTGATATACTCAAAGATATTCTCTCTCTAATTTTTGTATAGAGGTTCAAATGTTAACGTGAATGAAGGATTGATGAACAGTATTCAAGTTACTCTGGAAATGATGTCACAGGGATTACAGCAGGTGGAACTGAATAATCTAAGATCTAGGTCGACTTGTTCTCTGGGCCGAAACAGCGAAAGGAAGGTTACTGAGCAGGACATAAGAAGATCCAGATGATAATAGTAAATGGGAAGGTCTATAGCTAAGCCACAGTTTAGAGCATGCAAGCTGGCTTCTTGACCTAGACAGAATAATCAAGCAGATCCTTCATTCAACATCTCTTTGAAGACATCGTCGGGGCAAGAGATGGGCGGCTCCCGGTCGGTCTCGGCTGAGACACCCAGTCTCCAGTCCCTAAGCCTCCCAGTAACATGATGATGCAGTATTCAACAAATCATATTTTCTGCATGGCTGGAAGTTTGGTTGGCCTCAAGCATAGGATAGGAACAAACTGAGCATAAGTATGACAAAGGATGTAGAGGATTCCAAAGAATAAAAAAATCAAAGATGCATACAAAAAAAGGGTTCCTCCACTTTATACATTACCTGATATGTATAATACTTAACATACATTATATCAAATAATCTTCACATCAACCCTGTTATAAGGTAAGGGGGTTGTAAACTGTCTATTCTGATCAACGATATCACACTGAAGAAACATTTCTTCACAAGCTTCCTCCTATTTTTCATGCACCCATGTTATCATTCAATATGAATACCGGTACAAACTTTAAAATGAATTTTTTTTAAATGAGAGTTTTCCAACATGCTCAGATATAAGAATATAAGGCTGCGAAACTAAATGTTAGAAGATGAAATTAACATGGCTCGACAACAACAGGTCCCTATGATACATGGGCCCCCAAATTGTAACTACTGACCCCCCCCCCCCCCCCTCCCATAAAAACAAATATTCAAAAAGAAAACTATCACAATTATAACAGGGGGCTCTGCTTACAGAATCAAATTTTAAAATTAATCCAGACTCCCTATGATAAGTATGGAGCCATCAGCCATGCAAATAATGAAAATAAATATAAAAATCCCATTCCTCGACCCCTTCCCCCTTTTCTGAGCATACATCCCAATGCCATTATAATGAGAGCAGTATGGTAGCATCCATGGTGGTAGGGATAAACTTGGCCCCTGTAATCTGAAGACTCCAATCCATTCAGACAAGGACAGAAATAAATGTGATTACCAAGGCATGGTGAAAGACAATTAGCCTCAGACTAAACACAATTATTTCTGCCACAGTAGCTACATACCAGTACATTGTTTCGGCATGGTCTACCACCACGTCAGCCGGTCTCAATCCTCCTTAAGTTTGATGCTGAAATCAGACACCGAAAGTGGGACCTTGCTATGACTTTCATGTACCGTACATCAAATAAATAAAACAATCTAATGTTGGACTTTACCCTAGAAATATGATTTCTTAGGGCTTGCAGTAACAGGTTTCTTGTACATAGGGGTCTCCCAAATTAGACCACAAGACAACCCCTATCTAAAAACTGGGAGCCCATACATTGTTTGTTAAAGGTAAAGACCAGTTATGGTCATGCGATTGCATTGTGAAAGAAACGTTGTGGAATCGATCAGAAAAGGTTGATCATCTAGCATCTAGCATCTGCAAGGTTCTGGAATCATCAAAATGATAAGAAATTTGGTCCATTCTTCGTAAAGTTACAAGCACTATACACAGAAAGATGTATATGGGACTACCCTATATCTCTCATAGACCATGAGAGAAACAAATTTACCAAATATATGAATTAGTAGGCGGTTTCCCGGCAAATTTTTTATCATCATGTATAAGTCAAAACATATTCTTTCACATGATTGGTAATAAGAGCTTCCATTTCATTTTTTGAAATTGGGGCATTTCCAATACTGGTCTTTACCTTTAATCTCAAATTTCAATCCATACCCGTTGATAAAAATGAAGAAAAGAACATGTAGCTTATCACATGAATAAGTTATAATACACATTGGTGTAGAACTT